ACACACCACCACAGCCGTCACCTGTAATGCAGGACAAATCGACATGCCACAGCTCCCAGGAGCAGGATGATGGTCAGGTAGAGCTTGAACTTCTCATACTCGTCCTTGTAGGCAAATCTGCAGTGACAGACACCACCAGGAAAGGTCACATAACTATATCCCACCTGGGGGCAGGACCCTCGCCCCGTCAGATCCTTGACCTGCTGATCACACTAAGGGAGAGACTTTGAATTGATGGTGATTATCAAGTAGGGAAAGAGGGCCAATGTGCAAAGCTTCCTAGGTCCCTGGAATCCTGGTTTATGGCTCCAAGCCCATGAAGGGCAGGGAGCAGAAACAGGATCTCCTCCCCAATTAGCCACTGCAGCAGAAAAGCCATGGCTCCATTTCCCCTGGAAAGTGATAGATTTTAAGTGGACAGGACTGCCTCCTCCCTGGGAGAAATGTGCGTGATAAGGTGTACAATGGATCGGGGGCCACTTCTCACAGGAAACTGGCACTGCTGTCCACTCAACACGTTGACCCTTTGAAAGGAAGGAAGGTGGTCTACCCACTGAGGAGAGCATCAGGAAAACCAAAAGTCGGAGTCCCCACTCTGAATGTTTTTTCATTTATGCAAAAGTACTAGCTTGATCTCATCTCTCCTGAGCTGAAAGAGCAAAATGCCTGGATTCCGTGAAGTCAAGCGGAGTGGCGTCTGGGATACTTACTTGGCCTGGTTGCTGAGAAGGGTCACGTTCACATTGCCGAGAACCAGATTCAAGTAGAGCCTGGAAGGAAAGACCTGTGAGGACCGCCACGTTCTTTAACAGCCCGGGGAGTGGGCCCCAGCCCAAAACATTCCAGCCGAGTGAGCCCAGTGCTGAACACCGGGTGTTAGACAACAGGGCGCTAAGCTCAGAGGTGAAAGTCTCACCTCACGTGAGAACGAACAGTGATTAACTAGAGAACATGACAACTGTGACATGACCGTCAGGATTAACCCATTTCCCCCCGTTTCACATGGCTTAGAGACCATATTTCCCAGCCTCCTTTGCAGCTAACGTGAGCATGTGACTAAGCTCTGGCCAATGAGGCGAAGGCATGTGTACGACCTCTAGTTCAGTTTACAAAAGACCGTTTCTAAGTGCAAAAATCTTAAGTATATAACATGATGAATTTGTACATATTTATACATCTATGTAACCAACACCCAGGTCAAGGAATAAAATGCTTCCAGCCCCAGAAGGCTCCCTCGTACCCCGTCCCAGTCAGTACCCCCGCCAAGGGGTGCCACCATGTTATGTTTTCTATCACCGTGGATTCGTTTTGCCTATTTTTTATATTTTCACATAAATATATAGAATGTGTTCTATTTTATGCCTGGCTTCTTTCCCTCAATGTTGTGGCTGCAAGGTTCACCCAGGTTGTCTGCATCGGTGGTTCCTTCTTCCTCACTGTGTATATTATTCCATGGAGGAGAGGAGCCATAACTTATTCATCCTCCTCTTTACTCTACAACTGATGAATGTTTGGCTTGTTTTCAGTTTTCAACTATTATAAATACAGCTGCTGTGAACATCCTGGGTTTTTTTTTCCTAACTCAAGGTGCAATTCACATATCATAACATTAAAAAATTTTAAATAAAAACAAGTTATACAACGTAATGCTTTCTAGTATATTTACAATGTTCTGCAGCCATCAGCATCATCTAATTCCAGAACATTTTCATCACCCCAAAAGTAGGCGCACACCCATGAGCAGTCACTCCCATTCCCCACTCATCCCAGCCCCTGGCAACCACTATATCTACTTCTCGTCTCTATGGATGTGCCTATGCTGGACATTTTGTATAAATGGACACATGCAACGTGTGGCCTTTTGTGTCTGGCTTCCTTGCTGTGAACGCTCAGCGCTCACTTCCATTGGGTGTATAAATATATATTTATCTCCCCAGGGGTGGAATTTCTGGGCTGCAGGGTATGTATGTGTTTGGCTTCACTAGGAGATGGCAAACACTTTTTGTGAAAAGGGATCTGCTTGTCCTCCGCTGCCCGACTCCTCCCCGCTGCCTGAGAATGTGATGGTGCAAGCCAGCTCTGGCCATGTAGACGAGGACAACTCCCTCAGGAACCCACCACTCTTGGCCTACTCCCCTCTGGCTTTGTGCATGAGAGACAAAAACTTCACAAGTCACAGCCATTGTACCGTAAGGCTTCTGTGACAATAGCCTATACTCTAACACACTAGTAAAGGTGCAAATGAAGGGTTATGAGAGCTCAGGGGAAGAAAGACTAATTCCACAGAGGGAGAGGGGTTTGGAAAGGCTTCACTGACGTATAGTAAGATTTGAACTGGGTTTTGAAGGATGAGTAGAAGTTTGAGAGGAGAAAAGGGAACAAAAAAACCTTCTTTCTAGCTATGAGTAAATTCTAGGGGCATCTTCAGTCTGCAGTACCTGGAGTAGAAGTGTAATAAAGCCATGCATTTAAAAAATTTTTTCTAGTGTCTTTTGTGTATGTGGGGGGGGGTGGTAACTAGGCTTTCAAAAAATTTATTTATTTATTTACTTATTTACTTATTTATTTATTT